TGGAGTGCGCCGCGTGGCCTCTCGCGCGCCAAACTGGCGGTTTATCCAGCGCACCGGATATTTCACGCACCTCTTGGAGATGCTCTAAGCGCTTCTCTTTCTGCTTGCTCTTGTCTTTGCTCACTTGTGTGTTAGCTCGCTAGCTAAGCTCATCGCTGTTCGCTCAGGTCTTCGTGGTTGACTGGCCGCAGTCGGCTGGGCCTGTTGACTTTCTGACAATTTTTTTTAAATCAAAAAAAGATCGCAAAAAACAAAAATGTTCACCGAATTTGAAGAAATTTGGCAAATTTGAAAAAGGTTCATCCATTTTTAAGAAAGTTCATGAATTTGAAAAAAAAATCATTGATTTGGAAGAAAAGTCCACAAATTTGAAAGCAAGTTCATCGAAGTTGAAAAAAGTTCATTGAGTTTGAAAAAAGGTTCATCAAATTTGAGAAAAAGTTCATCGAGTTTGAAAAAAAGTTCATCGACATTGAAAAAAAGTTCATCGAATTTGAGAAAAGGTTCACCAAATCTGAAATATCAAGTTCATCGTATTTGAGAAAAATTTAATTGATTTTGCATCAAACCAGGAAGAAAGAAAAAAGAAAAAGGAAAGAAGAAAAAAAAGGAAAAAGGAAAAAAAAAAGAAAAGTACAAGGAGGAAAAGAATGAGAAAGATGCACGTAATCACATTAGGCTTGGTGGTTTGGTGGTTGTTGCTTTGTACTACAAAGTGGAAGGTTGCTTGTTTGAATCCCACTTGACCCACTTTTCTTTTGCTTTGCGTTTTCGAAAACAGAAATATGGTAAATGGGCCCTACTTTTCTTTTGCTTTGCGTCTTCAAAAACAAAAATAAGGTAAAAGGGCCAGCCCATATAGCATCGATGAGAGACGGGGTACGAACTAGCCTATATTCGACGCTTAAGACGCCGAATAGGGTTTGGCTTGCAGATCCCTATAAGTTATATTTGAGGATTTTTTTTCTGTTTTAGGGGATTAAGACCCAGCTAGCAGATCCTCAATATCATTTTTCCTGAAAATTTTACTAGCTAGCTCTGACAGAACTGTTGGTTCTTGCTCAGGCTTCACTACACCTTTAGAAACTGTGAGTAATTATTTTATTAGTGTAGAAGATTCTGAAGCACAAAAGCATGCCTCTGAGGAGGTATGACACCTAGTATCTAAATGTAAAGGACAAGCACCCCAGGACTATGCGTTTAACATGAATGCACCTCTTTGGAATGTGATGGGGATTGCCGCCCCTGGTAGGAAAACTCTGATAGTAGATAACATTAATAAAACTCATGCTTCAATCACGGGGTTTCAAGAGACTAAGAAAGATAGTTTTTCTGAATCCTACCTTAAATCTTTAGTGGGTAAGAGAAATTTTTCCTGGCACCACCTCCCATAAAAAGGCACTGCTAGTGGCATCTTGATGGGAGTTGATCTAGACATTTTTTAAGTTAACTCTTGGTCTTGCCTAGATTACTTTGTTTGCTGTAATGTTCAACTAAAAAGTAGTGGTGAGAAATTAAGGATTATTACTTTTTATGGCTCCCCTTATGAAGAAGGAAAAGGAACTTTTATTTCAGAGCTGCATAGCCTTTTTGTTGAAGCTCCTTTTCCCCTGCGCCTGAAGGTCTGCACAAGCCTGGCAAAATGTGCTCTTGTCATTCTTAGCATCCACAGAGCCTCTGTGTTGGTGCAGTTGTAGATGTGGTTATCCTCGGCTAACGTTGGAGCATAACGGATGACAGGGTTTTCACCACGACGAACATCTCTCTTGTGGATCAGCATGGGGCATGCCTGAATCACAACTATAAATGTTGCTGCTTGAACTACCATCTCAATTCGTTTATCCATAACCTAGGCGGCATCGATGCCGCGGTGAGCAATGGCGAAATCGGTCCTAAACCATGCCTAACGACCAAACATAGGGGGAGGGGGTTACATGTTTCTTATCGTCTTCAGAGACGATGGCAAGGAAGGGGGGCATGGCTCACTCGAGGAGGACCAGACAGTGGCCAAGAAGGGGACAAGCAGCCCATCCTATCGGAGAGTGTTGCTGTCGCCGCTGCCGCTTACGCATATCTGAGTCACGGCCGCCGCCAGTGCTAAGAACAGAG